GTGCCAGGAAAACGAGTATGTTTTCCTGGCACTACATTGGTCCTAGACTCATATTAAAAGGAGGAAAGATGTGTCAGTCCAGGTCTGTGACGTTCATCATGAACCTGTTTAATATGAGTCTTCAATAAAGTTTACAAATTTTATTCTTCAGTAAAACATTGAGTGCTGGTCCTCTGTACAATTTATGTATAATATTTTCCCTGGACTGCAAGCACCCGAATTATATATTGCAATTTTGTGTGTGTGTGTGTATATATATATATATATTTTATTTATACATTTTTTTGTACAAAATGTATAAGTGTATGTGTATTACACTGTCCATCCTTCTGAGGTACAAGGGGGATACTTGGACGCTATGGGTCCACTTGCGTCCCCGTTATTTACCTCAAAGAGGAGTGGCAACACTCCACCATCTTGCATGGCCAGCACCAAATCTGTGTCTCCATGCATATCACACTTTCCCACCGTTAATTCTACAGTTATTTTTCCTTCACCCATGTTGATTTGCAAGGGAAATGTCTGGTTGTGCAAGTTCACCTTGCATCTCAACATGTTATCTCTCCCACCCTAATACTATCAGTCAGTCTCCAAACTGTCTGGCTTTAGCATTTCTGAAATTGAAAAAATGTCACTATTAGACTCTATCTTATCTTCAATTTAATTAAAAATTTACAATGAATAGACTTTACTTCCCCCATCCATGTAGATTTGCAAGAGAAATGTCTGGTTTTAAAAATGTAACCTTTAATTGCCCTTTGCATGATATCTCTACACTTCCAATTCTTCCCCCTACACACTCACTAATTACTAACAATCTACAAACTATCTGTCCCTAACATGAGTTCAATAAAAACTTTTCCCTTTCATGAAACAATCTTATCTTCTATATATTTTGAAATGATTAAAAAAAAACAACTCTTTGCTACTCATTAGAAGGTGGTATGCTAGGAAGCTCTGGGTCCACCTTTCATCTCAATTTTTCTTCCTCTTTTGTTAGCGTTTCCTTTATACCATCTTGTATGGCCAGCATCAACTTATCTGGCCCTGCATGTGGTGTGTGCTGTAACACAATTCCATGTGCTACTCACCCACCTTTAAAGGGACGCTATAGTCACCCAGAACAATTCAGATCAATGAAGTGGTGTGGGTGCCAGGCCAATCATGTTTTAACCCATTCATATGTAAACATAACAGTTACAGAGAAACTGCTATGTTTACATAGCAGGGTTAATACAACCTCTAGTGCATGTCTTCCTGACAGCTGCTAGACGTTTAACTGCGACGATGGATGTGGATTTTGCATCCATCGCGCAGAGCGTCCATAGGAAAGCATTTAGAAATGCTTTCCTGTGGACTGTTAAAATGCGCGCGCTCGACACTTGCAGGGCATGCGCATTACGCACCACTCATGAGCTGACTTCAGTGGGGTAGGAGAGATAACGAGCGCCGAGGGAGCCCGGCGCTGGATTTAACTAAGCTGTTGAAGTGGTTTTAACACCTTCAGCGCCACGGGAGGTGAACCCTGACGGAGAAGTTCCACCAAAGATTATATAGTGTCGTGAAAACAGCTTTGTTTAACAGACACTACAGTGATCCTCTAAATAACTTTATTAAAGGACCACTGTAGGCACCCATACCACAGACGACATAATGATGTCGTCTGTGTGCCAGGTCCCTCTAGGAGTAACCCTTTCTTTTATATCAACATTGCAGTTTCAAATAAACTTCTATGTTTATATTTTGTTAAATCAAGCCTCCAAATCCTCTAGTGATGGGGTTCTCAACCCAGTCCTCTGGACCCCCTACCAGTCCGGGATTTGGGGATTACCTGGGTGTGTCTAAGGTGTTTAGAAAAAGGGTTTAAAAAAATACCTTTGACTCTAAGGGTTTTTTTTTTCTTTTTCTAAACACCTTAGACACACTTATGTTATCCCTAAAACCTGGACTGGTAGGGGGTCCTGAGGACTAACGTTGAGAACCCCACGCAAGATGCGCTTGCGTGCTTCTCACTGTGAAAATCACAGTGAGAAGAGGCAAGCGTCCATATGAAAGCATTGGAAATGCTTTCCTATGAGGCAGGCTAAATGCGAGCGCAGCTCTTGCTGCGCATGCGCATTCAGAAAAAGAGGATGATCGGAGGCGGAGAGGAGGAGGAGAGCTCCCTGCCCGGCACTGGAAAATAGATAAGTTTAACCCCTTTCCTCGCCATCCAGCCCGGCGGGAGGGGGCAAGCTCAAGGCACTATAGTGCCAGGAAAACAAGAGTTTTCCAGGCACTATAGTGGTACTTTAATTAGTTTTTAAAAATTGTTTTACCTGCCTCTTCAAAAATGTGAGGACTGGACTCTTTATTGTTCATCTCGTCCACTCACATGATGCCAGCAACACACAATGTCTGTCGTAATAAAAACAAGAAAAAAAATTAATATAATGTACTAGAAATGTTTCTTCTGCTTATTTTCATTGATTTCTTCTTTTTTAAAAGCTAAGTAAAAAAAATGGCAAGTGGAAATAGTTCAGTTTCAACTGATCCAAATGATGCGGACATCCAACGTATGGTAAGTTTATATAAGTGACTTACATTTTTCATGATCACTCTATTTTAGTAATATCAATTACCAAATAAAAAAAAAAAAGACATAAGTCTAGCCGATTTTCTAAGCAATGAGATAATCATTGGCCTAGGAGACAAATGGTAATATTTTGTATTGAAGGATAAAAAGGACTGGACCAATGCATTAATCTCAATTCAGTTACATTAGGTTGCATGATGGATGTTTTCATGGTTGAAGAATTTTAAAGGACCACTATAGTCACCCAGACCACTTCAGCTCAATGGAGTGGTCTTGGTGCCAGGTTGCTCTAGTGTCAACACTGCAACTGTAAACATAGCTGTTTCCTAGCCTCGAACAAAAAAAACGCTATAGGGTCATTAGGTCCACCCCACCCTCTGGGTCCCATTCCTGCAGGGCACTCGGGGTTAAAACCCCTTCAGCCACTTAACTTTCTCCAGCACTGTGCTCCCTCGGCTACGGCAATTGCAACGCAAGCATTCTAAACACACATGGTAAAGCATTACTCAATGCTTACGTATTGACATGCAGCATCTTATCACTGGCATTGAGTAATGCTTTCCTATGGGCGGTTTGAATGCGTGCACTGCAGTTGCCGCGCAGGCGCATTCGGCAATGATGTCAGTAGGAGGAGTGTTCACCATCACCGAGGGAGCGCGGTGCTGGAGAAAGAAAAGTGCCTGAAGGGGTTTTAACCCCGAGTGCCCTGCTGGAGTGGGACCCTGAGGGTGGGGTGGACCTAATGGCCCTATATTGACAAGAAAACCTTTTTTTTTTTAAAAACACTATTGTGGTCCTCTAACTGTTATCATTTATTCAATACCGACTAGGATTCATACAAATGTTATTGTGTTTATGAAGATCTAATACATATTAAAAAAAAAACTACTACATATATTTATAGCTGTCAGAATATTTTGAGGACCGTCATCGACATGCAGTTGATCCAGATATTTTAAATAGTATGGACTGGGATCCACCTGCACAGCAAGTGATTAATGACGAAAATACGCAAGCTTCACCAACAAGAGTAGGAACATCGGAATGGTGTCTGTGTGGCAATTGTATGCCAATGCAAAGTGAGGAAGAAAGTCTATGCTGCAGGGAGATAGAGAACATTGTCGATATGTTGAATGAACAACAGAATTGCATTTGCAATCTTCCATATCTACGTGAGCAATTATCTTCACGGGAACACGTGCTGTCTCTATACCGTTATGGTCTCAGCTATGTAAAATCCGCTAGATTCCGTTCTCCGGAACAAATGCAGGAAAGGTGAGTGTATCATAAATCTAAATACAGCGCATTGTTCTTTAAAACGGTCATGGATTTAAAAAAAAATGAAGCAAAATTAATCTCTAAAGGAGCACCATAGTGACACAATAAAAACCTTGTTTTGCTGGCACTATATAGTGGTTAAGTCACCCCCCAACCTCTGGTGAACAAATCCTGCTAGTCTGAAGGGGCTAAAACATCGTCAGCCACTAGCCTTTGTCCAGTGTTGTGCTCCCCCGGTGATGGTGACCTCTCCTCCTCCTGCCAATGTCCGCTACCAATGCACATGCGTGTCTATAGCGTTGCGCATTCGGTAAACAGCCTATAGGAAAGAATTACTCCATGCTTGCCATTTGAACGTCCAGCGTCTTCTCAGTCAGTTAGAATTGTGTAAGCTCCTCTTGCGAATGTCTGTGAGACAGCCACTAGAGGCTGGATTAACCCTCAGTGAAACACAGCAGTTTCTATGAAACTATGTTTACACCGAAATGGGTTAAAAATAGTGGGACCTGGCACACAGACCACTCCAAGTCAATGAAGTTGTCAGGGTGCCTGGTCCCTCTAGTTTTAACCCTGCCGCTCCAAACATAGTGTAGGAGAAACTGCTAGCTTTCAATGAGGTTTAATCCAGCCTCTAGTGGCTGTCTCACTGACAGTCGCTGTTTCCTCAATTCTCACAACGCTGGATGTCCATAGGAAAACATGGAGTAATGCGGACTCTGGCAGAAGGAGGAGAGGTCGCCAGCACAGAATGAGCTCGGTGCTGGAGAAAGTCAAGTGTCTGAAGGTGTTTTAACCCCTTCAGCGCATCATGAGGGGGGGCACTGAGGCTGTGTGGGGGGGGGACACTAATGACCCTATAGTGCCAAGAAAACGAGATTTTTTTTCCTGTCACTATAGTGCTCTTTTGTTTTTAGTATTCAAATACTACAATTGTTTATGTTTAGTTTTAATTACTTTCTATAGTTTTTGATGCTAAATTTTATATTCATAATTTAATATTTTTTCATTCTATACTCCATTGACACTCATTTTTTGTTTGGTTATTTATATGCAATGTTAAATGTTTCCTTTTTTTTTTTGTTCACAGTGACTACCGAAAAACTGCCTACAGGTCCTTCACAATGTGGGTGTACGGATACCTGGGACCCAAAAGGCGGCGTCCGATACCCTCGTGCACAGTAAAACTGATTAGGTCACACTTTCCTGCACCAGATGCGATATACATGGGTTTTAGATATGCGGATGATGACCCTATAGCTGTTGAACTTGTATAGTAGACAGTACGAAGCCTTGCAATTGTTTTAGTTTATCAAAATGTGTTAACTATTCAACATTGTCTGTTTGTTGTATATAATGTTAAAAAAATTTAATATGTTAATTTATTTTTATTGTACAATGTAAACTGTTATAAAAATGTTTATTTCTTATATTAATATATTAAAAAATGATAAAAAAATATTGCATTTTTTATTATTTTAATGATACTTTCATCTACTAATTTTATTTTATTAAAAAAATAACACAAACAGTTATATATATATATATAATGTTTTTTTCAAATACTAAAAGTAATTTTACTTCAGTGTGATGGGTAAAATTATTTGTCCTTTAAACCAGCTATCACTAATTTCAATAGGGTGTCTACATGAACATAATTATTGAATAAAGTACAAAAATTGTGAAGTAATAAACATTTATTAACAACATTGAAAAAAAAAATTTACAACAATAATTTAATGTAATAAATAACAAAATTTTAAAAATAAAATTTGGAACACAAGTTAACTTTTTTTTTAAAAGCATCCACATCGCTAAATTAACTTTATTGTTACATTACATGGTTTGAAAATACAAATAATATTTTTTTTTTTTTATTAAGTAAAACATTATTCGACAATATCAACTTTGAATTTTCAAAAATATGACAATAATAAATATTTTAAATTAAATAAAATAGTAAATTACAGGCACAATAATAACTTAATGTGCATATAGTTGTTATGGTTCCTGTAATGTAACATGTTAAAACAAAAACAAATAGTAAGTAAGTGCAACGTCCTGGTTTTGTATAAGAAATTATACAAACTGAACCAAAAATCAAAATTATTTTAAGAAATTAAAATTTGTTCTTCGAATACAAATTACAACTAAATTGCACTATAAACAAGTATTTAGCACCATTAACAGAAATGTCATTTTTATCACCAGTCCAAAAATTTCTTACACAAATTATACATTTTTGAACATTTTAAAGTCTTCTTGGACGTAAACGCGAAAAGTGACGGTCAACCATTACCTCCTTTGGTGGGCGAGGTGTTGAAGCAATGTTTATTGGAAGTTGCCCTGTTTGAGACTGCCAATTAACTTGTAAGTCACCTGAGGCTATTCGTAGTACGTCAGCCATCATTGGATATATATGGGCAATAGTGTTTTTTTCATATATTTTCTTAATTTTCCAATTTTTACTCCTTTTAGAGAAAAACGGTTTGAACCTCAAGTCCCCAATGTGTCCAGTGCCTGCTTGTTCTTTCTGTATAGTGGCCTGTTCTCTGCCTACATTGGCGTTGTGGGCCAAAACAGCCAGTTGTGTCCTGGCTACCATCCCATCCATCGTGAAATGTACTCTTTTGGGACGGTATTTTAATACCAGGCTATGAAAGACTTCAAGTGATCCCGTGTGGCAAAAATGAACCAAATGTGGAAAGTCTTTCTCTAATTTTGAATCTGTGACAAAGCTTCGAAGTTTGGAGTATGCCACTCCATTTTTTTTCAACCAGGATTTCTGTTCAAGAGTTTGATCATATTCCGCATGTTGACATTTTTTGAAAAGTGTTGCAGAGTCCCATTCATGTTCGTTTATAATGTGATGCATTACCGACAGCCATTTCTCTTTTAACAAAATTGGATTTCCTTTGCTGTATGAACAAGCTGCCCACATGTGATTTATTATCGAATTTTGCCACGGAACCAATTCCTTGTACATCGCTTGGCGACATATGGTTGATAGTTTTAACCGAATGCTCCGACAATAGTGCCATATATCGAATTGGTGATTAATGGCTTTGTATCTCTCTCTCATGATTTTCCTTATGCTTACATGACGATCGGTAACGAGAATTGAAATTAGAATTTTGTCGGCTAGTACTTGGTCCATGCAACTTTTGAATGCCAGTGATTCCATAGCAACAGATGATTTTGCGTCACTCACTTGAATTGTTTGACATTCTATTATTTTTTGCGATTTTTCCTCCAAAAGTGAATACGTGCAGTACTTGGCATTAAATCCAGGGCTGTCACATTGCCCATCTCCTGACAGACATACCATTTTTCCACGTAATCCATCTATCAATAATCTTCTTTCTTTCTTATAATGATGATCGATTATTGGAAATAAAAATTGTTTTTGATATATGTAATGTATGGATTGTGAAATAAACGGCACTCCAAAAATTGCAAAAAGTTCCGCAACTTTAGCAAAGTGCGAACCACTGAACAAAATTGATGCACTTGCTAATAAATTTCCACAAGAACGGTTCCCAATCATAGGCTGGCTGCTCCAAAATTCGCAACGATGATTTGATTCACATACAGTGTATACTTTTAACAGAGTGCCTGATATAATTTTTTCTGTGTTTGTTATTGGAGCGTTACATGGTTCGTGAAAAGTACATGTTTGAACCTTTTTGATCAATAAATCGAGAGAAGTTTCAAACACAATAAACTTCTTTTCTGAAACATAATCCTCAGGAGAGGGCTCTGTTAAAAATGTTAGATCGCCAATATCGGTTGTTTCTTCTTCGGGACTGTAAATCGGGTCATTGAATTCTGAAACATTCAGAGTTGCATCCATTTCCGATACTCTTGTAATTGAAGAAATGTTTGAGAATGGCGTATCTATGTTTTCTACAGGAACGGACTGTTGTGAATTTGGGGATAACAGTAGTTCTGTCTCCATTGGCATTGCACCTGGCATAGTGCAAACCTTTTTTATAGTATCTGTTTGCTGTACAATTGCAGCGTTTGGTGAATTGTCAATGGATCCTGCAAATTCTTCTGTAGGACCAGTCCAAGTCCAGACATCCTTTGTTGGATTCAAACCAATTATATTGGTGGATACATCACTTGTTTGAATTACACTGTGGGTTTGTGTAGACCTGCTCCGCCTTCCGTAGTATTTTGAAGTTGATACACCTTTGGCAATCATTGTTAAATTTGTGGTGTTGGTAGCTATGTTCATAAATGATTTATCAAAAGCCAGTTTGTAATGGAAACCTGCTATATACTCGTGATCGTAAATAGATGTCTCAGACTGCGCTCCGAGGTCCTCTGACGGAGCTCCGAGGTCCTCTGACGGAGCACCGAGGTCTTCTGACGGAGCACCGAGGTCTTCTGACGGAGCACCGAGGTCCTCTGACGGAGCACTGTGTCCCTCTGTTGAAGCACTGCGGTCCGCTGACGGAGCACTGAGGTCTAACATTTCTATATCACTACTGTTTTCTGCTCTCCTTAAAGTCATATCGTGTAAAGTTTGTAAAACTTTAGCTTTTACAAAAATAGTTGGTTTTGCCATTAAAACCAATCGTGTTCTCCTTTCAGACTTTACTATCATATCTGATGTGAAATGGTCCGAACAAATTTTGAAAATCTCACTTTTTTGTTTTTCCATGATTAATTGAATTGAGCCATCTAGGTTGACAAATTCGTCACCTGTGGCTAAAAGCCATTCTTTAATTCTGTCCGGTGTACTTGGAAAATTAAAGAAAGAGCAATCTGGTGAATGTTTAGTGTGACTGTTTCTGCAGCCTACAACTAAACACTTTGGCATTTTGTCTATGTTTGTAAAACAATAAAAGGGATGACAAAAGAAAATAAGAATAACATGTAGTGTGATTGTTGGCGCCAACACTTCTCTTAAATAATACTGAAATTTTTTTGACATTGTTAATTTTGACAATTACAACTATAATAATTTTATTAAATTTAGTAAACTCAAAAATGGACGACGAACACATAAATAAACAGGCACTGAAGACTACATATACGATTCACAAAAAAAAAATATCACTTGTGTTCTAAATATTTGCACACATTCATGTATTATTATTCGACTGTTAAGAATTACTCTTTAACTTCCCTGCTGTCGCGCCAACGTGTTGGAGGTGCCAGGAGGACAACGGGACTCTATTACACATCTGGTGGGAATGCAGACTTATTGCACCATTTTGGAATCGACTCAAATCAGATGTTCTCCTAATCCTTGGGAACGACACTGAATGGTCACAAGAACTGGCCTTACTGCACATCTCCTCACAACCACTATCCGCATACAAAAAATCTGTACTGCGCCATCTACTGAACGCTGCCAAATCACTCATTCCAGTATACTGGAAGAATACAGACATCCCCACAAGAGAAGAGTGGATTCACAGGGTCGAAGACATTAGAGCGGCAGAGGCACTACAGGCAGAATTGACGGGCAGAGAGGCAAAATATGCGAACATCTGGGAACCGTGTCTCACCTTCCGTGCGCAACAATAGGGGGGCGCTGGCGGGGAGAGCTGGGGGCCGGGGGACGGCGCAGCCCTCTCGACAGACCCACTACATACATTATGACCTGCGGCCGCCAATGCCACTCCTGTTGACAGACACTACGCCTCATGTACCATCCACACCACTCCGACTGGACGAGACACTACAAAGGATGACCTGAGCCAACAAAAACGCCCCTAAGCGGCCCACATAAATACACACAATTAACTGGCTAGTCGACACTCACATATCGCCCCTAACTAGACAGCACGACACAGCGACGGACTATGAGCCCTCACAGGCAAAGACAGCGGTCTCCGGACCTCCACCGTCCCCACGGAGGGGACGAGACAAAATGAGACAGACCTAACACTGCACGATATCCACACCCAATCAGACGATAGACGTCAGACGCATCAACCTGACCCCCACGGGAACCCTGATTATACACCATACGACAAAACAGGCTGACTGGGACCTGACCGGACAGATGAACCATCCGAGGGACTGGGTGTTGCAGAGCACAACGACCCTCACATGTAGAGACCCCTCGCCCTCAACCCCCCTTACTTATGACGACGATATACCTTCACACTCACGGGGCATCACGGCCAACTTGTACCTCATACCTCCGTCAACACAAGACACCTGATACGACACTTCCAACGCACGCCTATTGCGACATGCACAACCCGATCATACAAGCTAGGCATGGAACACGACACGGTCAGGCAACAGGTCGACC